TTTTTTTTTTTTTGAAAAAACCTAAAGAGAGAGAGTATATCTTATACTCTTGTCTTTAACATAGACCTTTCTAACCAATCACTTTCTTCTTAACTCCAATCTAACTCAATATTAACTCAACCTCATTGTCATCAACATTGTCAATATAATTAAATAATATCATTCAATTATTATTATACATTACATCAACTTTAATTCACTATTCATCCAGGTCACATAATTTTTACTAAATATCACTTCATGTAATATCTCTTATACTTTTTCATCAAATTAACTTTAATTATTTTATTTTAAATATTATTTTAATATAAATTCATAATCTCACTAAAAACTAACTATATTATGTTTTTTCAAAATTAATCATACCAATAAAATCCAAAAAAAAAAAATCGAAATATCTTATATCCAAGCATCTTGTTAAGACTTTAAAAGTATCAAGTTCTTTATTTGTAAATTTAAAAAAGTCTTACAAAATCTTAGAGTATTTATTTATTTATTTGAGATTGTGATTTGTTAAAACTTTTTAAAATTTACCGAAACTTCAGAAGAAAAAATCATATACGAATTTTCATTCTCAATCTCACCTCTATACTTAAGATGTCATATGATTCGTCATAAATTTGAAAATTTTAAAATATCTCAAATCTCAAGACGTGTGCCCAAACGAGTCAACTTATCTTTCCTCTCACTTGAAAATAATTGAACCTATATATATATTCTTTCTTCATTTGTTAAATTTTCAAATATATTTTTACATATGAAACAATAACATTTATATTTTTAAAATTCTTAAAATCCATAATAATATTTCTATTCTGTCCAAATAATAACAATGATATACATTTACTTAATGATATTAATAACTAATTTTTATAAATAGTGCAAGCAAACTTCAGAACAAAATATTATTATTATATTTAAAGTTTGGCATTTTCGCTATTTTTTATTTTTATTTTTTTTGGTTCCAATCTTTTAAACACACGTTAATTCTATTTTTATGTATAATTAGTTGTGTAACTCGTCATGAATTTAATTATTTTCATACCACTTTACCTACCTCAATTGCTTTTTTTTAATAACTTTCGTGTTAATATTACTAAACTTATCCTGTTCTATCCGTTGTTGACATTTTCAAACGAAAACAGATACTAGCAAACAGGAGATTCTTCCGCGACACGTGGCAGAATCTCCCTCCCCACGGTAAATCTAGAATGCACCCGACGCCACAGACGATCACATCCCCCTCATCCCTCTCCTTTTCACCTCCAGTGCGTGACACGTCATCTATAAAATCCAAAAACGTTGGTGGGGCCCAGTTGAAAAAGCCACCACCTTTGGCTTTGGGAACACGAGAATTATTTTATTGCCCATCAATGGACCCCATTCGAGATAACAATAATTTCAAGCTACCTCAATTGCAAACAATAATATCATTTCACCCCCTGAATAAATTGTGTAAATAAACTTGCTTGGATATAGATATTTGAGTTTAGAAAGATGCTACGGTGACGGTTCGGTTATAGAGTCATTTCGTCGTGATTTACAATTATTAAATAATCATGTAATCGTGGAGATAATTGATCTAATGGTTACAATCTAAAATGGAATAGTTCCGTAACAGAACCTTAGCATCTCTCTAGATAAGGTAGTAACAATAGTAAATTTCCATTTTCTTTTTATGAATCTATACTTATATAAGGAGTCATCCTATTTACTAAAGTTAGGAGCAAATAAAAAGGTCAACATTTAATGCAGTTCATAAATAGTAGTTTTATTATTTTTCTTATTTTTTTTCTTTAATAATCATATAATTTAATTTATTTACTTTTATATAATCTTACAATTTAATCATATAATTTAATTTATCAAAATCATACAATTTAATTTTTTTCTTTAAAAATACCCTTTGATATATACACACACACATATATATATATATAGTACTTTTTGTAATAAATTTGATTAAAATATGTTATTTAAATATCTAAACAATTTAAAAATTAAAATGTTTAAGTTGATTGATAAACAATTTATAAATTTTCTATTTTATTTAAATATGTAATTTTATTTAAAATAATTTTAAATATAGCCAATTTAATTAAGAATTATGCTACTTAGCCAACCTCCATTAATACTTTTTTAATGCCTCCATTACACTTGGTTGTAAACCAAGTTGTAATGGAGGTTGGCTAAGTAGCATAACCCTTTAATTAAAAATATTATATCGACCATACCAGTTCAACTGACTGGTGTTGACGGATTCAATAGCATATATTTTCTTCAAGTGAACTAGACTGATTATAAATCGGTTCTCACTCCATCCAGTCGGACTGTGTCCAATACGGTTTAATTTGAAAACGATTGTTAAATTCTAATTAATTTATTTGTATATTTAATTTATAACATAATCATAACATTGTTTTCCCGTGTGTTAAAATATTAGCCAGTTTGAGGGAGTAAAATGTAGGAACGCCATTATGAAGGATGTGAATTGCAAAATTTCCCTTACATGTCCCCATTTCCACAATATGATCTGAAATTATAAAAATTTACAAAATAGCCCTTGGCTTTATTTCTATAAATTCGAATGGCCCCTCCACCCTATTTCTGCACCATCTCATTCAGTCCTTGTAAGCTGTATTCATTTACATATACCTTTTTGAGTACTTCCAGTTCAGATAAAACAGAGAGAGAGAGAGAGAGAAAAAATGTTGGGAGTGTTTAGCAGGTCGATCGTGTCTCCGCCGGACGAGTTGGTGGCCGCGGGGAGCAGAACGCCGTCTCCGAAGCTGACGGCGGCGAAGCTGGTGGCTCGGTTCCTAGAGGCCAACTCATCGGCGGTTTCCTTACAGATCGGCGACCATGCCCAGCTGGCTTACACTCACTCCAATCAGTCTGCTTCTCTGCCGAGGTACGCACAGTTAATGACTGAGTTAAAATTGGAGAAAATTGTATTCCCATTTTGTGAATTTATAATCTGAGGGTTTATGTTTTTTCTTCAATTTCTCCGAACCTGGTATGATAATTGTTTAATTAATTAATCTGGTTGGAGCAGAATTCTGTGTTTATTTTCCGCAATTTGTTGCTGCACAAACAGAAAAGTTGTTCATATCGAGGTTCTTCGTGAATTACGATGTCTTTGTCTTTATAGTTCCTGATTTTCTTGCATGGTCGCAACGTGTTTTAATGGTGAGCTAAAGATTCCTCTCTTATTTTTTGATCTGTTCAGTCCTGTGAGTCTAGAGTCATCTTTGGTACTCGCATATTTCAATCAGAATCAGATCAACCGGCCTTTAAGTTGTAATCACACATAAGCTAGAAAATTGGGCCCGAAAATGTTTCTAAGGAAAAAACTGGGCACATAGTCTTTGGGTAGGTAATACAGCACTCTCATTACTCTCATATGATATTAGTCATACACTACACGATTGGCATAGCTAACATCAAGAGTCGGTAAATGTCGATGTGCGCGTAGAATGTTTCCAGAGTATTACGTATGGATCGAGTATAAACTAGTCTTGATCGCCACATACGTTTTGAGTTAATAAAAGTAAATAAAGTAGGAATTCAACTAGCCTTGATTAAGGGCATATGCAGTAGTTATGGAGAAGCTAAGATTATGGATTGCTTAGCTTATTTGGTTTTTACATGGTGAGGCAACCTGTATTAATCACTACAATAGAGGTTAGGTTGTGGAAGTGTTAATTAAAAACTTAAAGATCGTCGCATGCCTAAATGACGTGTCTATCATTTTTTTTCGCCTTTAGGCGAGTTTAATGTTGACCCAATCTATAAATTCATTAAAATTGTGATGTAAGCTAGAAATAAGAACTTTGGTGCCTCTCATTTGATTATTTATCATATGATGGTTGAAACTAACTGGATATGATATGATGAAACTGCAGATCTTTTGCGGTTAAGGATGAGATTTTCTGCTTGTTTGAAGGATCGCTCGACAACTTGGGGAGCTTGAAGCAACAATATGGGCTGGCAAAATCTGCAAACGAGGTGCTTTTGGTGATTGAGGCATATAAGGCTCTTCGCGATCGGGCACCTTATCCCCCAAACCATGTTGTCGGCCATCTTGAGGGAAACTTTGCCTTTGTAGTTTTCGACAAGTCCACATCTACTTTGTTTGTAGCAACTGTGAGTAGAAACTAGACCTGAGAAATGCATAATTGAGAACCTTTTTACTACTTTAAGAGGCTTTTTTTTTTAAACCGGTTGAGTTTGGTGGTGTCTTTCCAGGATCAATATGCTAAAGTTCCTTTGTATTGGGGAATCACTGCTGATGGGTATGTGGCATTTGCTGATGATGCTGACTTGCTTAAAGGCGCATGTGGGAAGTCGCTGGCTTCTTTCCCACAAGGTGAGCACGGGGAATCATTTGCTTTCTGATTTTTTTCTGGGTTTGATTAAGGACAACAAAAGTAAATAGAAATATGATACGTATATGATTTATGTTTAAGGAGTCGTGTACGATATGTATGAAGTTAATACAATTCTCATGTTATTGTGAAAATAATGACGAACTGAACACTAACAGTAAGTAAACAGTTAATTGTCACTGTAAACAATTAATGTTTGGTGATAATTCAATTAATAGTAGAAGTTATCATAGACATTCGTGATGTTTTACTTGGTTACAATACACGTAGGAGCGAACTTGTGTTCAACTGTTACGAGTTTTTATGGACACTATTCTCGTCTCTACTGTTATTTCCTGGGGCTCCATTGAGCGGAAGCTCTTTTGGTCAGATGTGTATATATGGCTCAATGACAGCTTTGATATTATCACAGATATATTCTCCATGCTAGACATCTATTGTTGTTCTTATATTGTGTTAGTTTGTTTATTATAGTATGCAGTGTTAAAGCTCAATGCTGAATAGTAATAATAATAAAGTAATTCTCCTATTTAACCATGATCGTGTGTGTTTTATTTCTTAGGATGCTTCTTTTCGACAGCTGTTGGGGGTCTTAGAAGCTACGAGAACCCCAAGAATAAGATTACTGCTGTTCCAGCTAAAGAGGAGGAAATATGGGGTGCCAAGTTCATGGTAAGATGATATTCTTTTTAGTTTCCAGAAAATCGTGATGCTAAGATACCGTTGGCATGCGTAGGGGACCATCAGATCTGTATTATTGGTTGTGCTAAGTTTCAGTCGGTGGGATTTTTTCGATTCTTTGCTGCTTATCTTTTCCGTACAACCAATGTTCAATAAACGCCACAGCGGTTTGATTTACTTATATAGAAGTTTTAAATGTACAAGAATGACCTTGACATTTGCATCCATCCTATGTTCCGTAACCCAAGAGTGTTCTTTCGTAACTCTGAAACTTCCAATTTTCTGTTTGAAACTATTTCACATCTTAGATTAAGTTTTGTAATTATCCCATCAAGTTATTGAAAGTGTCAGCTAGAAACATATTTATTCTCTACCAGACCATTTTGTTGTTTATCTGGTCCAGAAAGGTTAAAATTACCTTTTAGTCCTTGCTGTCCTGGGTACATACATAAAAAAGAACACAAGACCCTTTTTTGGAGAATCAAAATTCAGATTGGATAATGTGGAACAAAATCCATGACAAAAGTCGAGCTCAACAAGAAAAATCCTTCATAAAAGAGGATCAACATGAAATCCCCGGCATGCGTTTCGTTTTGTTTCAGTTGATTTATATTTGAGAATTGACAGATACCAAACTGTGAAAAAGTGATGTTTTAGTGGCCACAATTTTGTTGGACCCTATTTATATTTTTGATTGAGTTAACTGAGTGTGGATGACATATTTCAGGTGGAAGGGTCCAGCGTTGTTGCAGCCACAAAATAGAAGTAATGATGTGATGAAGTATCAATCAAAATGTTGCTCCATTTATCTGTAATGTAAACCCTCTGTTGATTGAGAGTGAAAGGAGCTAAGTAAAGAAATTTAGTGGGATTATGCATGAGTCTGTAAATAAATGGAGGGTTTCACTTGTTTGTTGTGTTAAGTTGGAAATCAGAACCTAATAATGTGTATTACTTGTGTGCGGGTCTTTTTTTCTTTTTCAGGATAATTTTGCTATTGTTTTCGCCCTTGAGCAGTGGCATTAGTTATGTATTTATGAAGTCTGGACTATTTTCAAACTAATAAAATGGGGAGGTAGATGTTGAAATCTATCATATTTTCATTTGGCGGGATAAGTTTTAACAAAAATTTTATGGAACCATCCAATTGTTTTTTTATGGAGTCATCGACCACTTAGGGGTCGTTTACTTTGCAGGTTAGGATAAGACAAATTAATCAAGACAATTTTTCATGTCAGCATTTAATCCACTGTTTACTTTTCGGGATAGAATTTGCATAAATGATTCCCTCATTTACTTTCATGGATTAATTGAGATGATATACAAGCCAAAGACAACGTTGCCCTTCTTGAAGTTATCGATTTTTGGTACATCCCATTAGCTTAACACAAACATTTCTTGCTAAATCCATGGCTCTTGAACTTCTGTAATACTAGAAGAGCTACTAGTCAATCACATACTTTTTACAAAACTTCTGCACAAATCCAAGAATTTGACACTTGCCCAAGAACAAGGAGGAGAAAAAATGTAAATTATTTATTAAAAGAAAATAGGGAAAAAGGACCATGTAGAGAATTAAAACCTGCGAAACAATGAATTGAGATGGATTTTGAGGGAACCCATCAACATGGGAGATAGCATAACGGAGCAAAGCATCAACGTCGAATTTCTGAGCCGGGTCGACCCGACCCACAAGCTCCGATGTCCGGCTCGCCATAGTTAGCTTGGTTTAGATCTGAGAAAAGCAAAGGTGAAGAGGAAC